CCCCTCTGTCCGACAAAGGAAAAGCACCTGAGATCGGCCTTGTCCTGAGATGCCTGGCCACACCCTCCCTTAAATAATGTACACCCCCCCCCCCAGCAGTCTGCCGTATAAACACAGTAATTATGAACAAGGAGAGCCACAAACACAAATGTCAGGAGAACAGAGAGGCATGATTGACAAGAGACCTGAGTAAATATTTCACTACAGTCCCATGACGAGATGGAAGCTAAAAACAACTAATTAAAGCTCACACTCTGGGAAAGGAGGGAGATGGAAAGATGCACCTCGGTGTTTGGGGGGGGGGGGGGGGTTGAGACATGGCATGGAGGTATCAGCGGGCAGCTAAACATGCCGCAGTTTAGATGGACACATGACTGCTGACCAGGCCTGGGAAGATAGGCGCAGTAACCAGAGATGAAAGACAGGGGGCTCCCTCCCTGCCACACGCTGGCCAATGAGGCAAGTTCTCACAAAGGCTGGTGGTGCGGGGCTCCACCTACATACGAGGCCATGCCCACCACTGCGCCCACCACTGCGCCCACCACTGCGCCCACCACTGCGCCCACCCCGGCTGGGAGAGAAAGGGTGCGGGCCAATTAGCAAGACCAGAGCACAGGAAGAACAGAAAGCCCCTGTGGATTCGCGTGGGGGCCGTTACAGGTTAACCCCCCTATGACCCAGTAAGGCGGCGGGTTGGTGGGGTCTGCGGGGTGGGCAGCCGCCAAAAAGCCGAGGAATATGCTTCTAGAGGCAAGACCTCCTGTGGGAGCAGCATCATGAGGAGGCAGCAACAGACAAATGACACTTCCCAAGGACCTCCTTCAACTACAAAGCCAAAATTCTTAAAAGACGCAACACTGTCCCAGCGACTGATGTACGCCAGTCAAATGGCTCTCTGCAGTTCCCAAATGCCACCCCAGCCTGGACAGCAGAATCACCACCATCCCGGTGACAGATCTGTCTTTATTCAGGCTGCTGCTTATAAGTCATTTTAATGAGTTCTGCAGCAGTTTATTAGCCAGGGATAAGGGGGTAAACAGGGAGGTCTGGGCGGCTCTGGTGAAGAGCGACAGCCCACAGGAGCCTTTAACATAAAGCGGGAAGGGAAATCAGCGAAGGCCCAACAATCTAATGAGAGCCCGATTCAGGATAATGAAGATCGGAAGACTGTAATCCCCAATCATGGGCCGAAGAACCGGGAACATCGGGGAGGAGCAGGGAGGTGAGGAAAGCGTGAGCGGGAACGTGAGGAGATGGCCGTCAGGCGGGGTGACTCTGTTTATCTTTTTCTTTTGTTCTTTTTCTTCTTTCTTGCATTAGTTCTTCTTTCTTCTGACAGCGGCTCATAAAAAAAGGTCCAAACAGAGGTTCTGTTTCCACAGTCAGCGATACAGACGTAAGAGTCGTAGTGCTTCCACTGGGTGACACTTTGGAATGTGAGGTGGCTGTAACAGGCAATTAGCCTGACGGGGGACCGGCCAGGACCGTGAGGGCGGAGGGTACGATAAACTCACCGGGCACCGCCGTACAGGGCTCTCCCAACGCACGCGTCATCGTCTCCCTGCTGTCATCGTCTACCAGCTAGGAGGCTCACAGGCAAATCAAGGCAAAAAGCCCCCACCATGCATGTCCAGCTATCTGAGGACGAGCACCACCCCCCCACCGTGCATGTCCAGCTATCTGAG